AACACAGACACACACACACAGACAACCTCTCGTCAATATGCGTTTTTCGCGTTGCATAACTGCAAAAAACGCATAATAATTCTTCCACCTCTTCTTTTCTTCCCTTTCTCCCTGTCTTAAAAACTTTTACGCTACACACACACACACACACACACTACACTTTTATCTAAATTATTTTTGTTACCACAATCGTCGTACTGACGAAGTCCAGCTGCCGTAACGGTAAGAAATGTATACAACTTAATGAACCGAAACATTTCTTAGCAATTACAAATATTTTATTCTCCCCTTCCCCCTTTTTTCATTTCGTTTTCCTTCTCTACTTTTTCCTTCTTCTCATTTTCTATCTTATCTTTAATTCCACCGCGAATTTTCAACAGAAGCGTATTTCAGAGCAAAAATTCTATTTTGTAGCAGAAATACAAAATCATTTTCATTGCTGGTACGCACAAGAAAAGCACATACCGTAGACAAAAATCGAGCGCGCTCTTCGTGTGCGGTAATATCGTCGCCATGTGAGTGATGAGTTTTTGTCAGAAGTAACATGCGTCCAACCAAATCCTGGAAAGTACGAATAAAACTAGAAAATTCAGCAGTAAGTTTAAAAATTATCATGCGTATGTTTTCCAATCCTCCCCTCTCACCCTTCTCTTCTCCTCGCCCCCGCTCCCGTCCTCCCCCCTCTCCGACGGCTGAAACAACGGTTTAGAAGAATCGGGGAAAACAGAAAAAGCTCCGTGTGAACAATAATGTTTGTACCGTTGTGGAGATTCCAGGCGTACGCATGCATTCACGGTATCGGCCATGTCGTTTAACATCGGCATACGTATCGACGCCATCAGCAGACAGTGTTATATCATCTGCAAAATCGGAGACCAAAACATGAAAAACCCTCGATACAGATTCGCTTCCGTCTATTTTTCGCTTCTTTAGCGCAAAAATCGTGCCTACTGATCAAACTTTTTTTCACAATCCTTTGTAATTATAAACCACCTAAATTTCAACTTCAAAATTCACCACATGATGGGCTGCTGCTGTTAGCCTGAAAAATAAGCCCTCGAAAGAGGAGGTCAACGGCAGCCCCGCTAGCAGGTGGGTGCCTTTCGGAATACCTCTCAGTACCAACTTCACACAAAATGAATTTGGAATCAGTTCTGATTTTTGAGCCACGCATCAAAATACCACCTCAAAGCAGCACCAGAAAAAACGGTGAATAAACTGAAGCAACCAGGAGAAAAAGACCAGAAAGTATATCTGACGTTCAAAGCCGAAAAAGAGACCCGGCAACTTAGACAGACCGTTTTTTTTTTGACATATATCTACGGAAAATTTATGCTGTACCGGCTGAAAGTGCAATAAATTCTTACATATCTTGTAAACTTACCACCATGTACGCAGAAATTGCAATTATACTTGTCCAACGTATCCACTGTTGTTAAATAGGGCGCACCTTCGACAACCTCAAAGCAATGGCAGTGAATTAAGAAGTTTGTGTCAAAATTTACGGTGAATTCATGGCAGATTCCAGGAAGACTGTCAAAATTTACGATGAATTCATGGGAGATTCACGTAAGTGCACGTGAAAGTTTTTTTAGCGGAAAAGCGTTTTCGGGAACGGCCCATGCCAGGAGGCTGGAACTTCACAGAGATGTTCCTTGGCCGAGTCTAATCCAAAGATTTCAAATTCAGCCTTCAAAATTTACGATGAATTCGTGGCAGATTCCAGGAAGATTAAGTCGCAAAAATAAAGACTTGGTGGACCGCGCCCAGCGATAATCACCTTACTGTGTTAACGAGCAACATCCCTTACAAGGGGATTTCCTTGGAAACAGTCGCCCAGGTGGTGCGAGTAAATGCTGAGCAGCAGCTGTGGCGTGAGGGGATAGGTGGGTGTTTACACCAGGGGGAGATGTTATGGTCTGTCGATGAGCCGCTCAAATTCCTCGCCTCGTAAGGGGACCGATTTGAGGGGTGACAAAATAACGCCTTAGGTAAACAATATGTCGGAAATTCAGGAAAATGTCAAAAACCGCGTTATTCATACACAGAAGGGCCTCGCTGCCTGCTCGGTAAACAGAGGGCGATATTTACAACATTATCACTGTCCATAAAAGATAAGGGAACTGAATGAAGGGGGCATTTCTTCGAAAAGCCAATACCTATAGGCGAGAGCCAAAAAAGTGCTACAGCAAATTTTCTCTCCAACTTTCCATTCTTGTACTCTCTTATTTCCTCCATCCCTCCTTTCCTCTTAACCTCTTCTTCTACCTTACTAATACGTTATTAACTTTTCCATATGTTGGATTGGGGGCTGCACTGATGATTCCCGTTCCAATCCACACCGAATACTGTCTGTGTTTGCAGCTTAGGGATGAAACACACAGGCAGGCAAGTTGACATTCTGCCTTCACACAGGTCCTCATTACATCTTCTTAACCTTTTTTCACAACATATGCTGTTCCACTATCTCTTTTCACTTCTTTTTTCCATGGTCTTTCCTTTCATTTCATGATTTGACGACAAGAAAGGCAAAATGGCAGTATAACAGTTTTATGAAAAAAAAAAAAAAAACAAAAAAACTCAGATTTCAACAAACCTCGTCCACCCATTTGATGGCACGCACCATGCGGTAGCGCTCACGTTCACTGAAAACCGGCGGTCCTTTGTGCAGTTCAATCTGATCGTCCGTGTGTACACCGACAATCAAACAATCACCGAACTGTTTTGCTTGCCGCAATTGATTTGCATGACCGAAATGCACCATATCGTAACTGCAATACACCTACTAAATGTTACGAGAATTTTTTGAAAAATACAAACAGCGAATGTTCTTGGCAAGGAAACTGGAAGACAGCAGGGGCCTGAAATCTTCTATGTATTAGCACTTGCAGTTTGTTAAGCGTTATGGCCTACTGTGAAGAACTCAAGCGAATTTTGACAATTAATGAAAACTGGAAGTGGCGTTTGGATCTCCCAAATAAGCAAACTGTATGTGCGGTAACTTGATAGCCTGCCTGTGTTTCATCCCTGAACCGTAAACAGAGATGGTAGAAACGATGCGGAATAGAGTGGGAATCATCAGTACAGTGCCCCATTCCGTCAAGTTAAAAGGGACATTCGAAGGAAGATGAAGAAGGAAGGGAGGGAAATAAAGGTGAGTGTATAGAAGTGAAGGAAAAATTGAATGATAAAGTGGATGTTGAAACTCATAAGAATAATAAAGAACGCTAAGTTCAACCCAGGCAACTGGTGAGACGTGTTGATATTTGCAGGATGCTTTCGTACACCAGGCTCAATCTTAGCAGGCTCATCGATCCTGCGCTGCATACCCACATATGGATTACCGAGGGAAGATGAAGAGGGTGCCATTTCGTACGAAATCAGCATTGCTGGCTTTTTCCTGCTCCTGTATACTTCGGCATCCTTTTCACTCCATTTTGGTTATAGTTAAGTAGGGAAGGCAGTAAGGACCGATATAAAGGTCATATCAACAAAAAACTATAGACAGCCCGCAGGAGGACTGTCAAACACCGGCCAATACAGACAGAGGCAAAATAGGGAGACCAGTACGAGCCATAGAGGCCCTATCAGGATCATATTAAATCTATT